AAATATGGTTACTGCCCTCTCGGAGATCATCAGATCATGCCTCCTCATTCTCTGCAGAGGACGGGGAGTGAGCTGTTTGAAGGTGATGCCATCATCAGGCATCACCTGAATGTTCGATGAAGCTTGGAACAATATCCTTCTTGTTGGTGGGCATAAGATATTATAGCAAATTGACTGAAGAGAGCACAGAGAACAGGCCTCGCTGTTATTTTCTTCAGTTTCCAATAATTTTTGGAATTTTTAGCTATCCTGTTGCTTTTTACTTGCTGTGTGTTATAGAGTTAACTTTTTTCCTGGTAAACAATTACAGAAGCTTCTCATCTTAGCGAAGCAAGCTTGGAGGTACTCGTACATATTTTCAATAGAATTTTGGAGGTTGTTTCCAGAGGTAATGTAGGCCTTCCATTAAGTAATCTTGACTATGAGAATTATTGAGAAATTAGGGCTTCTTACTTCTCATTGATAGAATTGTTGGCTTATATAGCCTTACACACATGTTTACACAAAGGCCCTCTAACAAACCCTTTAATTGCATTACATTCTCAACACTCCTCCTCAAGAAGGGCGAAAGATATCTATTAAGCCCATCTTGTCACACCCTCTAGCTAGATCTACTGAGCTAAGCCATTTAGTCAAGCAGTCTGCAGCTTGCTCCTTAGTTGGAACATAGCCTAACTCCAGTAGCCCACTGTTCAGTTTCTCCTTGATGAAGAATCTATCAATCTCGATGTGCTTAGTTCTGTCATGCTGAACTGGGTTGTTGGCGATGCTGATAGCTGACTTGTTATCGCACCACAAACTCATCTTGGCCCCTTGATCAAGGTTCAGTTCCACCAGCATGTTCTTCAGCCACATCAACTCCGCAACCCCCAAGGCCATGGCTCTGTACTCTTCTTCAGCTGTTGATCTCGCCACCACAAATTACTTCTTGCTTTTCCAGGAGACTAAATTGCCTCCTACAAATAGACTCAGGTAGATCAGCCTACCCACCAATCTTTGATATCTCTCACGATCAACAGGTTCTCCTGCCTCAGCACTCAGCCTGAGACTCTGATCAATCGGTGTAGCAGCAGTCTTGCATCCCAACATCCCCGTCTCTGCAAGAAGATCCAGTGCATACTTCCTCTGGGAGAGAACAATCCCCTTAGGTCCATGAGCTATCTCTATCCCAAGGAAGTATCGCAGCTGACCCAGATCCTTCACTTCGAATTCTTTGCTCAATCTTACCTTGAGCTGAGCAATCTCCTTCTCATCATCCCCTGTGATGATCATGTCATCCACATATACTGCCAGCATTGTGATGTGACCTCCACTTCTTCTGAAGAATACAGTATGATCGGCATTGATCTGTCTGTATCCCATACTAACCATGGCTCTCCTGAACCTGTCAAACCATGCTCGAGGGGACTGTTTTAGTCCATACAAAGACTTCTTCAGTCTGCAGACCTTACCCACTGTCTGTCCTGTGCTACATCCAGGTGGTATCTCCATATACACCTCTTCCACTAGATCTCCATGAAGGAACGCATTCTTCACATCCAGTTGGTGTAGTTCCCATCCACCATTTGTTGCTAGAGAAATCAGCGTTCGAACAGTACTCATCTTCGCCACTGGTGCAAAAGTCTCATCGTAGTCAATGCCGTATGTCTGGCTGTACCCTTTTGCCACCAGTCGTGCCTTGTATCGTTCAACCTTCCCTTCCGGGTTCTGCTTCACGGTAAACACCCACTTGCATCCCACTGCCTTTTTTCCTGCTGGCAGTGTCGCTAACTCCCACGTGTGGTTCTTCTCAAGAGCCCACAGCTCCTCATGCATAGCAGCCTTCCACTTTGGGTCATTCTTAGCATCCTGCCAGCTGTTAGGTATAATAACAGAATCTAATGATGCAATGAATGCTCCATATGAAGGTAATATGTGAGAATAGGAAACAGAATGAGCTAGATCCCAACCATATCTCTTAGGAGGATTTCCCGCATTACTGCGAGTAGTCCTCCTTTCTGACATTAGAGTAGGGGGAGGGTTAGGAGTAGGAATGATATTACCTAGAGTGGAGGGTGGTGTAGGTGTCTCAGGAGTTAGAGCAAAACTGGACGAGGGACTAGGCACTGGCACTGTTATTATAGGCACCTCTGGCTCCTTCCCCCTCCTACTGTATGTAAGCAACTCCCCCTGAGCTGTAGGTCTAACACCCCTTGTCTCCTCCTTCTCCCCTTCGTCTTCATCCTCCTTCTCTTCTGGGTACGGGATCGAAATTGGGATTGACCCCCTTGAGCTCTCACCATTCTCCCCCTCTTGCCTCATACCTCCAGTATCGGGCAAGTCACCAAAATGTGAAGTAACCCCTACTGTGTAGTACGGCTCGAGCTCCCGAAACCGCACATCCATGCTGACAAACAGCCTTTTTTCCACCGGGCTCCAGCAGACATACCCTTTCTGGGTGCCATTGTATCCCACGAATATACATTTCACAGCCCTAGGGTCTAGCTTCCCAACCGATGGTCTGTTGTCCTTCACAAAGCACACACAGCCAAATACCTTCAATGGTAGGGCCCCTTCGTTATCTCCTTTCAGTATCTCACAGGGAGACTTCCACTCCAACACACTCGAAGGCATCCGGTTGATTAAGTAAGCAGCAGTCAAGACTGCTTGTCCCCATACCACCTTTGGGACATTCATCGCCATCATCATACTCCTAGCGACTTCTAGGAGATGTCTGTTCTTCCTCTCTGCTACCCCATTCTGAGCTGGGGTGTATGGGCATGTAGTCTGGTGTAGAATCCCCTGAGCTGACAGATACTCCCCAAGTGTTCTGTTGGTATACTCTGTCCCATTATCCGACCTCAACACCTTTACTGCTGCACCATACTGAGTCTGGATGTGCTTATGAAAATCTTTAAAACAGCCAACTACATCACTTTTGTTTTTCATAAGATACACCCAAGTGACCCTAGAGAAGCAATCAATAAATGTAACAAAAAACTTGCATCCATTTATAGAATTTACTGGGCAGGGTCCCCAAACATCAGAGTGTATTACTTCAAACTTACAAGAACTCCTATTACCTGAACTAACGTAAGAGCTTCTAGTTAGTTTTCCAAACTCACAAGCATCACAATGTAGCTTCTGTTTATTTATTTTTTCAAACAGGGTTGGATACATTCTACCCAAAATGCCAAACGACGGATGTCCCATCCGTTGATGATAAAGCATCAACTCATCTTCTGCACACACTTTAGCTCCTCCTGTTCCCGTCCTCTCCACCACAGATGTCAGCGCTGAGTCCATCCCTTCGCGGTCCAAGTACCACAGCCCGCTACGCCATGTCCCAGTCCCAAGTCTTCACCCTGTCCCTTTCTCCTAAAAAATTACCTTGGGAATGTCAAAAGAAACAATACAATTTAGTTGGATGATAATGGCACTAATGGATAACAGGCTAACAGGAAATGAAGGAGCATGCAGAACATTAGATAAAGTTATAGAACCTGTACAACTAACAGTGCCCTTACCAACCACATCCTGTGTTGTACCATCAGCAATTTGGATGCTCTCTGCTTCTGCTAAGTGAGTGTAAGATAAGAACTCACTGGCATTGCCTGTCACATGTCTGGATGCTCCAGAATCCATTATCCAGGCGGTGGATCTTCCCTCGTTTGGGTGTGCGCGAAGGGCGTAATTAGCATAGTCCCCTCCAGAGAAAGTAGTAGATGCCCCCTCAGACACATCACCTACTGCGCTCTGCTTCCTACTCAGTGCTGTCAAGAATGCACGATCCTCGGCAGTGAAGATCATCTCAGCTTCTTCTTCTCTTTCTGTCACTGTCAAGTTTGCTCGGTGGCCTCCTCTTCCACCTCGCCTGCCTCCACGACCACGACCACGGCCTCCAGCCTGACCGCGTCCACCCCAGTCTCTCTCTCTGGGTGGCTTAGGGCACATCTGTCTCAGATGTCCTACCTCTCCGCAGTTGAGGCACTTCCTAGTCTCCCCTCTGAATCCAGTGTAATCCGGGTTGGATACCACCAGTGCAGACTTCTCCCCTGTAAGTCCATCTGTCCCAGTCTGTAGTCTGATGCGGCTCTCCTCCTGTATCATGGCTGAGATTGCCTCCTCCAGTGGTGGGATCTTAGTCTGAGTTAGTAACAACGCCGTCCTCTGCTCATATGCTGGAGCCAAACCTCGGAGAAACAACATGGTCCTCTTCTGCAAGGAGGCCTCACGCTCCTTGCACTTCGGGTCTTTACAGCTCGCTAGGGGTGAGAAGTGATCGTGATCGAGCCACAAGCGCTCCAGCTCTGTGGCGTACTCCTGTACAGTCCTCTCTCCCTGGACTGTAGCGCTGATTTCCTTCTCGATCTGGAATACCCTCAGGTTATTTCCCACCCCATCGTAAGTCCTCCTCAGCTTCTCCCAAACATCATGCACCCTCCCAAGACCATCCACTGTGGCAGCAATTGGTTGGACTATAGAATTCAGAAGCCAGATATACACTAACATATGAGTGGACTTCCACTCATCTCTCCCTGCTGAGCCCTCAGCCGGCTCAGTCTTCTCCCCTGTCAGATATCCCTCTAGGCTCCTCCCAGCAAGGGTATATTTCACCCGGCGCGACCAACTCAGATATGTCGCGGGTCCATCAAGTTTTACATCGATAGGTGGAAGCTCCACCTTCTTGGGTTGTGGCTTTGTCGAGCTCTCTCCCGCCGACAACTTCATCAGTTGCATCAGTGTTGAGATCTCCTCAGGATTCAACTTCTTGATGATACCTTCCATCGGATTTTTGCCAGTCTCCGTCATAGATCCAACTTGTATTCTTGTGTGCAGTGAAAATTTCGGCAGCACTTCGACAGCACAACAAGAAAGTTAGATCAATAAAAATTCCTATTTCACTAAGGAAACAAGAACCAAAAGCAAGATATCTCAACAAGGTGAGATATCAGCTCTTCTCTCATCAGTTCGAGGACTGACCTGTCGAGGGAACCTAAACAAGCTATTACAATTCAAGAAAGAAGAAAAAAAAAGGTCATCTAATTACAGATTACAGATCCCTCTTCTTTCTTTCTTTTTTTCTTTTTTTTTTTTTGTTCTAATCAGCACAGCACAAACTTCCCCACTACAGATCTCTCCCCTCTCTTTTTTTTTTTCAATAAAAAACTTCCCCACTACAGATCTCTCCCCTCTTTTTTTTTTCAATAAAAAACTTCCCCACGACTGCTGCCAAGCCCAGCACTTCCTTTTGTTTTTTTTTCTATTCTTCTTCCCCTACTCCGGCTCCCAATTTCGATCTCGCCAAGCTCTTCGCCGCTGACCGTTTCTCTGTCGCCGTCGCCCTCGTCGACTCCCCGTTCTCTCCCTTCACCAGCTCGTCCTTCATCGTCGCATTCTCATCGGCCCACCCATCGATCTCCTTCCACCTCCTCCTGCTCGATTGAGGGCAGAATCATTCACGACGCCATGGGAGATCGGAACAAAGGGGTCGGCATCGACGAGAGAACCAGGCCTTCTTCAACGGCGTGTCCTTTGCAAGATCTCCGGCCAAGGCACCAGCGAAAGCTCCGGCGAAGCTTGGTCGGGACTTCGGCTGACGTCGTCTTCGTCGTCGCGAAGGCTTTTATGGCGTCGGAGCTTGGTCGGGACTTCGGCTGACGTCGTCTTCGTCGTCGACGAGCTTGGATTCACGTCGGGTTCACAAGACAAACGAAGAGGCGGCGGCTAGGTTAGATAGCTCTGATACCATATTGAGAAATTAGGGCTTCTTACTTCTCATTGATAGAATTGTTGGCTTATATAGCCTTACACACATGTTTACACAAAGGCCCTCTAACAAACCCTTTAATTGCATTACATTCTCAACAAGAATGTTGAGAAGTATAATAGGAATTGTAAAAAAAGTTACAGCCACACTAGCTAAGAGGCTGAAATGTCATACCTTCATTATTATTCACACGCACGCACACACAAACGAGAAAATAAAAATAAAAAGATGACATGCTCATTTAAGAAACTATACTTGTTCAATGACACAGTTTATATTTTTGATAATAGTTACATAAAAACATAATTTCTCGACACCCATAAAATCAAAGATAAACAACTTGAATCAAAACAAAGGAACTTGTACAAAGAGTACAACACAGCAGCCATAAATTACAGTGCAAGAAAAATGCAAAAAAAATGATGACAAATACAACATATATAGTGAAAATTGGGAAAGTCTACTGCATCAGAGATTAAGAGGAGTCCACTCCAATTCTAAGAAAATCTCTCCGGACTCCACTTTCTGTAGCTTCAGCGATATCTCTTGCTTTATTTTCCCATCAACAATGTTCACAGCGCTGTCCTCGATGAGGGCATTGTCTGCCGTTTTCAACCACTTCCCGATTTGCATATTAGATAGGAGTTCGGGATCCCCAAAAGCCATTGCAGATGCAATCATTGGCTGAAGATCAATTTCTGCTTCACCCATTAAATCATCGGCAGAGAGTAGATCATGATCATACACTTCCTATAGAAGAGTATCATATGATGAGCATGGAAATTCAAGGACCATTCTAGCTTGTGAAGCTTTTCTCGCAATTTTTTCATGCTTTCTTGAACATGCAAAGAGTTTTTCAAGAGTAAAGCTCTTGTAAACTTAAGTGATAAGAACTCTATGTCCACCAACTTTTTTATCCATTGATTTTGCTTTGAGATTTCTGCTAGCATACGATCCACATTAAAACATAAATCTCAAAGATAGACTTAATGTATAGTAATGAATCTCAAAGCAAAATCAATAGATAAAAAAAGTTGGTGGACAAAAGCTCATGTCAAATTAAGTTTACTCGCTTTTCAATGTCATCAATTATACTCAAAGGTCTGCAGTCATAATATAGAAGTGTTTTGAGTATCCCTTGGGGTGAATGACTATAGAGCAGCCAAATGCCCAACACAAAATCTAGTGAAAGATGAACATCATCAGATTCATGGAAATATTTATAATATTTATGAACAATTCTTTCTGCAATTGATGAGATGCATTTTGCAAGTGTAAACACATTACTTTATTATGTATTTTAGAAGGTGGATGAGCATGAATTTGGATATGCAAGAAAGGAAAACTGGGTTATAGAATTTTGCCAAGACAACAAGCTTTATGCGACCAAAAAATTTAACCATTCAAGCAACCTTAACAGTTTCTTCAATGAGCTTAATATGCACCAAATAAAATATAATTATTTTATCAGACTCACCAATTTAAGGGCCTTGTAAGACTCGGGAACTGAAAGCTTAAGCTCCTCGTTCCAAACTGGATTTAGATTGCTCTTTACTACAGTCGTCTTCGCCTTCTGTATTGGATATGATAATGCATGTAATAAAAGCATCATCTTCTGAAGATACATAACTCAATCTTCTTTTATCACCAGAAACCAAAAAAATTGTTCTAAGACATAGCTGACCTGTTGCCCAAGAGTAAGAACAACATAAGGATCACTGCTTCGTAAATCTCTAACAGCCAAATTTGTGCCTTTTATCACTTTGACATTCAATATTCCAATGAACTCTACCATACCTGCCTGCTAGCAGTTGAGAATAGGAGACTATTGTCAGTTACACCTTCTCACCATAGCCAATAGTGTTACTAATGATTTATGATATGTTCTCTCGAAATAGTACAATTATCATAGCACTAATTACTCCATGGAATTCTTTAACGCATGAATCATCAAGACTTACTGAAGTATTCAAGGCATCAGAATCCACATCCTTCCCGGAATCACATGATGTGAAAGAACTGGAGGTCTTTGAAGAAACAATCCGAAGGCTAGGCTTCAAAAATTCTTGCAGCTCATACTTTGACCTATAACTCCACAGTAGATAAGATTTTGTTTCATGTTCCATTCTATGAGAAATTTATCAGAAATAAAGATTCCAACCTAAATTCACCTGATGAATTTGGAGCGCTCTTCATTACATGAGTCTGGGGTGGGTTTGGAAAATTCTGCTGGGAGGAATGCCTCATAAATTGAGTTGGCATAAGAGTTTCCGCCAACCTCAATCATGGACTGAATTTCCTCGTCAGACCATTCATCTAATGTCACAGATAGAACCTGTATCCAGCAGTTGAAGTTTTAGAAAAAGCAACCATTAAATTTTATGGAACAATATTTACAGAAAGTGGACACTTTTGATAAGAAATAAGGAAGAAGTCCAGTAGTTATAGTGCTGTGGAAGGGACAATAACCTAAAGACATACAGATGATAAACATGATGATTCATTTCAAATTTTCAATTTTGATTTATATTTGGCTTCAGATATAATTGTTGACACCGTGTTACTTACATTATGCTTTGATCAATCTTTTTCCCTGTTAGAGGAGCCTAATTCTTGTGTGAAACTATAAAATTTTCCAGTTAGGCTATGCAACAGGCATGTACGAGATAATTGCTTACAATAAGAGAAGTGGGTACAGGGGAAAATGAGTGTAATCATGGTAAGTCCTGTGGCCACCCAAGTAAACATGAGATGAGCAAATTTTGTATACCTTTGAGATATGAGTGCCTAGACTTCTGTGTACACCTGAACATTTTAGGCATATAAATACTCCAATATTAGATGACCTGAAAGGAAAAACAATAATTTTTCAGGCACAAATTTACACCAATATTTAACTATATGCATTTATATTATAGAAATTCATACAGCTTGAAGTAATAATAGTCATCTCATTGGTACAATTTGCATGCACCAAACAAAATAAACATGCATGACTTGAGAAAAGGTTAGCATAATGATAGAACTACTGGTTGTCTATGGCTTCTGTTGACAACTAGCTTTTAATATGCATGCAAGTTCCTTTAGCCAGAGAGGAGATTTACATTTCCTTTCTCCTCAAAATAATTTCTTGACTCTTAAATTTCAAAGCAAATTGCAGTGCATTTCTTGCAATTTGCTAACTCTACACTCACTATGAGATCGTCATGTGCAATTTGTTGCAGTTTTTGAAACTTTACAGCTTCTAGTTGGCCTATTTGAGTGGCATTTTTAAACTGAATTTTATAGCATATGTTACTTTTAGAAGTGATCCACTCACGATGCCACAACTGGACAAAGCAAATTAACTGAAATTCATTCTATCTGTATCTCTAAGAACCTATTTCCAACTATGCTGTTTATGTACCATATGTACCAAGACAGATTTTTGTTTCAACACTGCTGATCCATGTATAACCTCTCAACATCCATGTGTAACCTCTCATCATGAACTCGTGTTATTTTTTAACTGTTTCATGGGAACTAGAAGCCACAGTCCTAAAAATCACTGTAAATATGAATACAGAATGCTACATTAAAGAAAAAATGTTCGATTAGATAACTACCGCATAGGTTGTTATAAGTACAATTAATTTGACCAACATAACATAAAAACTGAATAACCTATGAATTTTTGAATGCCAAAGGATATAAGTCCACATAAAATGATGACATAGAGCGTTGCTCAACTGAATTCATACAGAGAAGTGGAATGATAAAAACTATCAACTAAAACCAAGAATAATGCTGACGAGTCATACATGATTGAAACAGTATAAATTTAACGAAATGTAGGGAACGAAAGATGTCCATAAGTCGCCAAAATTTTAATTTATTCTACAACAGACCTGGTATCCATGAAAAGGCTTTAAGAAAAAGGTTGCACCTCAGAGATACAATCAATATCATGATGTAAATCTTAGATCTCAACAAACATAAGAGAAACTAACACAGCATTACATTGCACACTTCTAAAAGAAATGTTTAATGTCGATGTGTAAGCGAAGATACTTACGCCCATTTAGGATCTGGGGCAGCACAATCTGCACATATCCTGTTGTCACTTTTATGCAATAAATCCTTCAATTTCCTTAAATTAGCTGTGGGAAAGAAATGAAAATTAGAGAGGTCGTCTCCAAGTAAATAACAAGCAATCAACAATTGTAGAACCATTTTCACTATTGGTGCTGTTTGCATTAGTCATTAGATTTAGATTGAGCAGCTATGAGATTGGTTACTTGGAGCTGGGGAATATCCTTAATGCAGTTGGTTTTGAAGGCTTCTATTTAATTTATCATTATTTCCTGTTTAGTATATATCTATTTATTTTTTTAAAAGGCCACTCAAATCTATAACAAAGTCCACAATTAAATCTCTTCGATAACTACTAAAATTGACCGCTGACCAGCAATAGAAGGCTAAGGGAAAGACTAAAGAGAAGTGCTTTCTCTTGTTGGTTTCTCTGTGAAAGGGAGAGATGGGCACTGCTCCAAATCCCAACTTCCCGGTTCCCATGGAACCAAAATGGACAGAGGGGATTATTTCATAAAAAACTACAGAATTAAGCAAAAAAAGGGATTTTACCTCAAACACGAATACTACTATACTAGGCGCATCCAAAATCCCTCATCCAAAACCCGGACTTACATCAAGAAGGGATCTATCCACTATATTAACAAGAAGAGTATAATCCCTTAAGAAAAATGGGGCGGTTATCTGGCGTATGTTAGCAGGCGAAAATTTTCCTGCTATCCTGCGCTCCCGCCGAGTTCTCAATGGTGAGGAAGAAGAAGAAGAAGATCCTAAGCATTGGATTGAGAGCCTCTCATTCAAATTTGATTGGTTCTGATGAACATTTTGATACAAGATCTGATGAAGATGATGAAATTTGTTCTCTAATGGGATCTACAGGTCCGAAAGGAGCAAAGAAAATGAAATCTATGGAGGAGTTGTTGAATCCTACAATTTCTTGGGTTTATCCAAATCAAAATCTAGCTGGAATTTCTCCTTTGAATGGAATTCAAGCTTGGAATCTCTGCAAGTCTCCTTTATCTTGTTCTGAATGGATGAATTCCGCTACGGTTTCTTGGGCTGATGAATCAACATCTGAGACTCCTCTCCTTCATTCGTCTTCAAGAATCTTACCTGTTTCTGATTCTGTTCTTTTAAATTCAAATCTACATGCTAATAAATTTACTGTTTCATTGAATTTCAAAGAGGGGAAAATTTCTTCAAATGAGTCTATAGGTCCAGAATTACCACCTCTAGGAAAATCTAAAGAAGGGGAAATTAAACCAGCTAAAAGCTGGATCAGCTTGTTTGCTAATAACAGAAAGCAAGGGAATGATATGGTTTTGGATTATGTGCCTTCTGAGACAACTGATTTAGTTGTTTTTAATGAAGATGAGTGTAATGAAGGTGCTTCAACATGGAGATTCTCTTTAATTGGATAAGTCCTGGGTTTAAATGTCAGGTTTAAGGCAATGGAGACCCATGTGAATAAAGTATAGGTTCATGTTCCAGAAATTTGTCTCCTAAAAGCTGGGTTATTCCTGTTCAATTTTAGAGGAGAAGATGAAATGAATGAAATTCTAAGCAAGGGTCCATGGTTTTTTGGATCTAGACCTATTCCTTTGAAGTCATGTTCTATTGGTGAAGACATTAACAAATCTGAAGATTACTTTTATCCTTTATGGATCCAATTACCAACTTTGAAACTAAACTTATGGAATTCTAAATGCATTAGCAAAATTGCAAGTATCATTGGTAGGTCTATTGCAACTGATAAGTTGACTGCTAACAAGCAAAGGCTGGCATATACTAGAGTTTTGGTAAAAGTTAAAATGCCTTCTCCCTTACCTGACCATATCATTTTACAAGGCCCTGATGGGAAAACTTATAATCAAAAGATTCTTTATGAATTTAAGCCAAGATGGTGTGATTTGTGCAAAGTTGTAGGACATGACACAAATATCTGCAGGAGGATGAATAGAGTCCAAAAATGGATCCTAAGCAAAAAACAGAATCAGGAAATAATACACCAAATCCAGTTATCCATGAAGAGGGGATTTTTGATCAAAATCTAGCTGGAAGGAGTAACAAAGGAAAATCAGTTGAACTGAAGGAACCTGTGCATGTTGTGCATGTCCAGCACACTGTTTTTGAGTGTTAGGAAAATGAGTATGCATCACCACTAAATGTGCACATGAAAGCAGATTATGGGTTGTTTCTATATATGGACAAAATCAATCAGGTTTCAAGTCCATATTAGATAAAGGAGATCCAACACATGTTGCTGGAGGTAGCACAGAGCCTATGCATGTTGTGCATGTTCTGAACTCAGGGACAGCTGAGAGTTCCTGGGTTCAAATCCAAAGAAGAAAGCACCCTGATGTTTCAGTTACACATATTGTTGAGGGGATCACAGTGCCTGTGCATGATGTGCATATTCTTAAATCAGGGACATGAACTGAAAGTTCCTGGGTTCAAATCCAAAGAGGAAATCAAAAACAACCTGATGCTTTAGTAAATGCATTTTCCCATCTTATGCTTGATCCCTCTACAATAGATAAGGAGGGATGGATCTATAAAAATGAATCTTACATGTTGGAATGTTAGGGGGCTGAAAAAGTCCTCAAAACAGCATTTGGTGAAACATTTCATAGCTCGGTATCATCTATCTTATCTAGCTTTACTGGAAACAAAGATTAAAGATAGAAAGTTGCCTTTTATAGCCAAGAAAATTGCCAGCAATTGGAGTTATCTTTCAAACATTGGCTATGCAAATAAAACAAGAATTATGATCTTGTGGGATCCTAATATTTTGGATATTAACATTGTAACCCTCTCAGCTCAACAAATCACATGCTCTGTTAAATCTTTGGATGGGAGATTTGATAGTATAATCTCAACAGTTTATGGTTCAAATCAAATAGAAGACAGAAGGGAGTTATAGGCTGATTTAAAGTTTATTCATAATTCAATTGGAACTACACCTTGGCTCTTGTGTGGGGATTTCAACTCTGTTATTAGTAATGATGAGAAATTGGGTGGCTCTTCTCTCACTGAGGTAGATTTCAGGGATTTCAGGGACTTTATACATGATTGCCTTCTAAACCACCTAAAAACAATTGGGTGTTTCTACACATTGAATAACAAACAAGACACAAATTCAAGGGTCTGGTGTAGGCTGGACAGAGCTCTAGTAAATGATTGTTGGTTGCATATGTTCAATGCTAGTCAAGCTAAGTTCCTTCTCTCTAATTTTTTAGACCATTCTCCCGCGTTGGTCTCTATATTTGAGGATAAAGTGCAAGGTAAAAGACCTTTTAAATTCTTTAATATGTGGGCTAAGCATGATAGATTCCTTCCTGCAGTAGCTAGCACTTGGGGATCTGATATTGCAGGGTACAAAATGTATTCAGTTTGTACAAAGTTAAAAAAACTGAAAGGAGCTCTCAAGGATATAAACAAGAGGTATTTCTCCAACATCAGTGAACAAGTCCTGAGGACTAGGCATGCTTTGGAAGAAATTCAAAGGAATCTTCAGATCAGCCCACCATGTCATTCTTTCATTATAGAGGAAAAGGAATGCTTAGCTAATTACAACAAATTGCTTGAATGTGAAATTTCCTTTTACCAGCAAAAAGCTAGAATTTCCTGGGGGATTAAAGGAGACAGATGCACAAATTTCTTCCACTCTGTCATTAATACAAACAGACATCACAACAAAGTGATGGTCCTATACAATGGAGCTGGGCAAAGAATTACTGATCATGATGAGATTGTCAATGAATTTGTTTCATATTACCAAAATCTTATGGGAAAAGCTTCTGACAATATAAAAAATCCTAATATTAGAATTATTAAATCTGGTCCATGTTTGTCCAGTTCAATAGCCAGGCTTCTCTCAAAACCTGTAACAAAAGAAGAAATAAAAGAAGCCATATTTTCCATGTCTGATAACAAGTCTCCTGGTCCTGATGAATATGGGGTTTTCTTCTTCAAATCAGCATGGCCAGTTGTGGGTGAAGAAGTAACATTGGCCATTGAGGAATTCTTTAACTTTGCTAATCTTTTGGGTGTGGTAAACACTACATCAATTACTCTTATCCCCAAGGTAAAATGCCCAAAAACTCCAGCAGATTATAGGCCTATTTCATGTTGCAATAGTCTATACAAATTCATCTCAAAAGTCTTGGCAAATAGACTCAAATCTGTTATGGGCTTTTGGTGAATTAAGCACAAAGTGCTTTTGTCAATATCAAGCAATATCATGTGAGCTCATGAGTTAATCAAGAGATATAGCAGGAAACATATATCTCCTAGAATCATGTTAAACATTGATATCAAAAAAACCTTTGATACAATTAGCTGGAATTTTCTTAATATTATGCTCAAAGGGCTAGGATTTCCAGATTATATGATTGACAGAATCATGGCTTGTGTTACTAGCCCAAAATTCTCCATTTCTCTAAATGGCTCTCTCCATGGGTTCTTCAAGGGTGAGAGAGGCTTGAGACAAGGTGATCCTCTTTCTCCATATCTTTTTATATTGGGTATGGAATACCCTCAAGAAATCCGGATGCATTGAAGCAGGACATGAAATTTAAATTTCATCCCAAATGTGCTAAATTCAAGCTCACACACCTTATCTTTGCTGATGACCTGCTATTATTTGGGAAGGGTGACTTATACTCAATGCAGAATTTGTATCAGTGTGTCAAAAAATTTGGTGAAACATCAGGGCTTGAAGTAAATCAAGATAAATGTTCAATTTTTTTTGGTGGAGTTGATGATACTTTCAAATCTGCTATATTAAATCTTCTAGGCTTCAAAGAAGGCAGTCTCCCAATCAGATACTTAGGAGTTCCTCTCATATGCAAGAATCTATCATATGTGGATTGCAATGCACTTATCAACAAAGTATCAAGCCAGCTTCTCACATGGTCAAAGCACAAAAAGCTAACATATGCAGGGAGAGTACAAGTTATAAAAAGTGTAATTCTGGATGTGTAGGTTTTCTGGACCTCAAATTATATACTGTCTGTCAAAGTAACACAAAAAGTTGATAGAATTATGTAGGAACTTCCTATAGGGAAAAACTTATCAACCTTCAAAAACTCCTCTAGTTGCTTGGGACATTGTCTGTCTGGATAGGAAACAGGGTGGTCTAGGAGTTTATTCTG